CCCTCCCAAGCCCCCCCCCCCCCCCCCCCCCACCTCCCGCGCCGGGCCCTCTCGCGGCTCGCGGCCTCTCTCCCTCCCTCTCCCCTCCTTTCTCCCTCCCTCCGAGCCCAATTGCTCAAGCCGCTTCCTTCCCCAACGCCAGCGCCAGTTCCTCTCCCGGAGGGGCCCGGGAAGGGCAGCGAACGCTCGACACTGGAAGCGCCGCGGCGGCAGCGGCCGGACCATGGCCGAGCCCCGAGGGGCCGCGAACCCGGGGCGCAAGGCCTCCCTCGCCGCCACCGCGCTGAGCTCGCGGAGCGCCGCGCCACCCCGTCCCCCGAGAGCGGACCCCAGCAGCCTGGGCAGGTACCGGGACCACGCCGCCGCGGCCGCCGCCTCCCGGGACTTGCACGGCTCGCCGATGCTCTCGGGAACGGGCAGCGGCCGCCGGCGCGGAGCGCTGTGGGAGCTGCTGGGGCTGCAGGGGGCGGCCCCCGCCGGCTGGCTGTCGGAGGAGCGCGCCGAGGAGCAGTCCCCGGCCGGGCCGAACGGTCCGGGGGGCGGCGGCGGCGGCGGCGGGCTGTGCCTGGAGCCCCACGAGCACGCGTGGATACTGGCGGCCGCCGAGGGCCGCCTTGAGGTGCTGTGGGAGCAGCTGGAAGCCGAGCCCGGGCTGCTGCTGCGGTGCGACCCGATCACGGGCTACACGGTGCTGCACTGGCTGGCCAAGCACGGGTGCCACGAGGAGCTCATCCTGGTGTACGACTTCGCCCAGCGCCGGGGGCTGCAGCTCGACGTGAGCGCCTCGGGCAGCGGCGGCCTCACGCCCCTCCACCTGGCGGCCCTGCAGGGCCACGACATGGTCATCAAGGTGCTGGTGGGCGCCTTGGGGGCTGACCCCACGCGCCGCGACTACAGCGGCCACCGGGCCTGTCACTACCTGCGACCCGACGCGCCGCGGAACCTGCGGGAGCTGTCGGGGGCCGAGGACTGGGAGACGGCGGGCGGCAGAGGGCGGAACAACGCCAACAACAACAGCAGCGGCTGCGCCGCCGCGTGGACGCTGCGACGGACCCCGAGCGCGGTGGGCGCGACCGCCGTGGAGAAGAACTACACGCCCCGAAAGGAGAAGGACTACACGGGCAGCCGGGTGGCACAAATTCAGGGCCTTTTCCGCCAAATATTCCCCTTCTTCCAGGACCGGTGAGGGCGACGGAGACCGGAGAGCGCGGAGGGACCGCGACGCCGCGTCGAGGCCTCGGTCTCCGGTTGTCTCCGGCCCCGCCCGAAGGGGCGGCAGCTCGGGCCGAAGCCGAGCGCGCTGGGCCTGCAAGCGGCGGACCACCTCCAGCTTTGTCTCAGGTACCTGTCCCAGGTCTTCTACGCCACCGGCCAGGAGACCTGGGGACCAGGGTACCCTCACCGAGACAGCAAAGACCAAGCCTCCCTGACGCCGAGTCCCAAGACTACAGGACTACGGAGTTAGGAGCGGGAGTGCCGTCCTACGTGGGAGAGGAAAACTTAACGCTTCCAAGAGCCATTTCTGGGCAGGCAGAAGCTCTGGGTTTATTAGGAAGCACTCGCTTAGAAGAACGAGTTAAGACTATAAACCACGGATAACAGAGGAAACACCTAACTGAAGGCTTGACTCGGCTGTTCCTGCGGGCAGAGTCACCCTTCCCCCCAACCTGCTCCTGACACCTCCAGGCTTTTACGGGTACTTTTCCTAATGTATCACGGATGACTTCTTGAGCATATTAAAGCGGAGTATGTTTTCCTTTCACATGACAAAGCTGTCCTTTGAGTGACTTTTTTTTTTTTTCCCATTAACCACCCGAGTGCGGGAAGCTTCCTACATTTGCAGGGAAGAGCTCACCAGCTGGCCAGGAGCTAGTGATCGGGGCGGCTCAGGACCTCGTTCCCACAGCAGATGGCCAAGCCGTGCACTGGAAGGAACTGCTTTCACCTTGGCTCTGAGTAGAGACACACAGTTTGCCTGTCCCCCGGGCTCTTTGGCCGCTGGGTCTGGCTTCCCGCACAAGTCTCATCCTCGAGGAGTCGTCTGTAGGGGGCAGAGGGGTGGGAGAAGGGCCAAATGTGCAAGTGTACATTTCTGATATTTTGTGGTGAGTCATGTAATTTACCTGGACTTCTGCCCTCCCATGAGACACACCCACTGGCACTTTTTCCGAGATAGGGCTTCTTTAATCATCGGCATTGCTTTTTCATTACGTGTAATCTATAAGTTATAGTTTGGAAAATTGCCCCCATTCAGAAATTGTGTGTGAAGACAGTAGAATACAGGTTGACTTTGGCTGAAGGGAGGGAAAAGCAGTTGGTGGCTAGGGATCCATGCTGCCTTAGAGAACGGTGCATTTTCAAAATAGCACGGCATCCCTGGAAGCTTGGACAGCCCTTGCAATGGACTGTTGTGTCCCCAGCCCTCCCATCCCCATCCTTGAACACCAGGGAGAAATTGAGTCATCGCAGAACACAGAAAGGCCACCCTGAGCTCATCCACACAGGTTTCCGTCTCCGCCTGGCCTGCCTGCTTGGCCCTCTCTGTTACCTCTTCCGGGCTCAAAACGTTACGATCTTCCCTTAATAACCCACGGGGTTCTTGTCATCCATGAAATGATCCAAACCCTCCCTGTCAACGTTCTCCGCCTGTCGTATGTGTCTAGGAACTACACCTTAAATTGACACAGTGTGGCGTAGCAATAACTTTTTGTTCTCCATGAACTTCTTCGGTGTTTGAAAGGGTGAACACTTCCTGGATCCTGGCAGTGGCCATCAGCAGCTGGCACAGCCCACTCCACCCCCAAGCCCATTTTGTAGATGCAAATTGGGTGCCTGATGCAGGGCTGCGGTCTCTGCTCCACGGTCTCTCCCTTGACAGCTTGCAAGGTGGGCTGGGCTGGGTGAAGGCCGTGGGGGCGGGGCCTTCCTGCCCAGCGGCTCGGGCTGTGGGGCTGCCGGCTGCCGGGCTTGGAGGGAACGTTGGCTTGTGCCGGTGCCCAGCGTTCAAAGGACAGAACAGCAGTCCCCTCTTCGTGGGAAAAGTCTGCCCCTAAGCATCTGAACTATCAGCAGATCTGAGGACCTGAGACAGGCATCTGCCCTGCTTCTTCCAAAATGAAAACCAAGTCAGCCGGAAGATTGGAAAGCACTCTGTATCGTTTCTCCCGGAGTCAGCTACTCTCCTGCGCAGATTTCCCTCATCATGTGATATTGCCTAGCCTACCTCCTCCATGTAAAATTGAGGTTTGGCTGCAGGGGACAAACTCCCATGCTGAAAAGCCTCCATGCCTCACATCAAGCCATTGGCATTTCTGGTATGCTTTTTGAGGCAAGACTGGTATGCTTACCCCAAGAGAAAGAACAGATTCCCTGAGAAACTGCTTTCCAGGGGAGCAAGACGGAGCTAAGCAGATGATGCAAATCTGCATTCTGGTGGAGCAGGGGACGAGGAAAGGTGACAGAAGCAGGCCTGTGACAGGTGAGCATGAGAGTTTCGGGGGGGGGGTTGCCACCCAAGGGCGGGGCCTGACCCAGGCAAAAGGTGCAGGAAAAGCTTTCCAGGGAGGAAGGTAAGGCCGGATCTGAGGCTCCAGGGGTGCGTGGGGCGTTGGTCAGTGGAAGAGGGGAGGGGCCTCCTGGCAGAGCCGCCGGAGTGTGTCTGGGAGAATACAGCAAGTACCAAGAAATGTAAGTCGGCAGGTTTGGCAGGAAGGCGGGAGCCGGGCAGTAGTTAAGGACAAAGCTGGAGAAGTGGGCGGGGGTTCAGATCACCAAGGGTCTCATAGGTCATGCTAACGGAGGAGCGTGGATTTTGCCCTAGAGGTAGCCAGGAGCCATAGAAGGTTTCTAAGCAGAGGAGTAACCTGCTGGGATTTTAGAAAAGTCACTCTGGCAGTCACATGAAGCATGGATGTGCCAGGGAGACAGTGGGGGGGGGGGCCGCAGTGGAACATCACACAAGCAAAACGTTTCTGGAAAAACGCTTCAAGAAAAGTCATGCTTCAACTCAGAAGTTCACAGAACCCTGTGGAGAGCAGTGGCGTTCAAACTTTTTTTTCCTCCATAGAACTTGCTCTCACGAAGCTGACCCCGAAGCCCCACGTGTAAAACTGGTGAACACGGAGATGGACAGACGGTGGC